GTTTAAAGTAACCAACATAAGCCCGATGCCTATTGCCAAAGTTGACTGGTTTACAGAGAGACACCTTACCCAGGCTGCATTCAATCAACACAGACCATCACTGGTTGGCATATGAGCACATGAAAGTTTTGTAGGGGTATGTCTTCCCAATCAGGCCTGAAGGAAGGATTAAGGGTTAGAAAAGAAGTACGATTTGTACAGATTAAGACAGTTAACGAAGAACTAGGAAGATAACTCATGTGTTAGTGCATTTGGTAGACCTGAGTCTGAGTCTCACTCTGCCTGCCCCTTTCCAAGCACCACCAGATCTAATTCTAGTGGTCCCTGCTGATGCAAAAAAAATTAAAATTTGAAATGGGAAACTGATGGGACTTAGCTACACCCAGTCTACTCAGTTGACAAGCTGCTCTAGAGCTTAGAAGGTAGGATTTGCACTTGTCAATACCAGCAGAATCCAAGATGGCATCGGCAACAACTGCCTGCCCCCTCCTCACACAGACCCACTTTTCTTACTTTTACTCAAATTGTACTATATTAGCATGGTCAACGGCCCTGGCAGTTGACCAGGAGGAGTTTGCATAACCTCAGTTCCTGAAGGATCCCAGTGTTCATACAGGATTGGACTCACTGTGGTTCGAGACTTGAGCCCAGGGCCTCCAAGAATGCCTGCAGGGTAGCCAGAGCAAACCAATGAGGAGAGGATGAACTACCCAACAATGTCAGACTCTTATCTCATACCATATACAAAAACTTAAATTTCAGAAGGACCAAGAGCTAAATATTGAACTGGAGAAATAGTAAAGCAGATAGGGCATTTTCCTAGCATGTGGCAAACCCAAGTTCAATTCCCTGCACCACATATGGTCCGCTGAGCCCACAAGAGTGATCTCTAAGCATAGAACCAGAAATAAGCCCTGAGTATCTCTGGGTGTGACCCCCACAAAGAAAAATAAAATGAATATTAAAAAAATTAGTGGAAGGAAATGTGGAGGATCATTTTTGTTGAAGTGAAAATGCTTTTTTCTTTTTTGTGAGGGCTCAAATCCAGTTGCGCTCAAGGCTTCCTCCAAGGTCTATGCTTAGGCTTCACTCTGGACAGGGCTTGGGAACTGTCTATAATGCCACAATTGAACCCAGGTTGACAGTGTACAAGGGAAGAACCTTACCCACCATTCTCTCTAGCCCCATGGGAAATATTCTTAGCCAGTCATGTGCCTCAAAACAAGCAGAAAATTTAAGAATACAAATACTGATAGTTATAAAAGGTAAATACTTCCATGTGATGAAAGGGATTGTTAATCAAGTTTAGCAACAGATTATTATTTATTGGAATGATAAATAATAATCATTATTTATAATAATTAAAAGTAATAATTATAAATAATAATGATTTATAATATCATTCCAACAAGGATTGGAATGATATTATAGGCTATTTTACAAACATAGAACTAATATTATAGATTACAATCACTATCATCCTGTTGTTCATTGATTTCCTCAAGCAGGCACCAGTAATGTCTCCTTCTTCCTAGCCCTGAGATTTTTAAAAGAGCCATTTCAATGCTCTTTCAGGATTAGGAGAATGAGACCCATCATTGTTACTGGTATTTGGCATATTGAGTACGACACGGGAAGTTTGCCAGACTCTGCCGTGCGGGCAGGATACTTTTGGTAGCCTGCCAGGTTCTCCAAAGGAAAGATAATAAGATGTCGCTTCCGGGAGCTGGGTTTTATAGTCTCTGCGTCTTGGCCGTTGATGGGACCAACCTGGCGCTGGCAGCAGCTGGTGGGTGTGACGCCTACCTACTGGAAGATGAGGGGAGTCTGGGTGGAGAAGGCCCAGTCCCAATCCGAGTAGGCTTGGAGACCTCAGCCCCGGGACCCGCATGCCTGGGTTCCTTTGCCAGTTCTTTCATGCATGAGGCCCGTCTGGACATGTGTGGTCCCAGCATGGCTGTGGCTGACTCCAGAGGTCCTCAGCTGCTGGGGGCTCTGCTCGGGGCGGGGGGGGGGGAGAGAAACTCAACCCTCCCCCCTTCAAGGGGCCCCGATGAAGACAGCCAGGCGCGGGGGCAGGAGACTGCGCTGTTCTCCTCTAGGAGCTGGGTTTTATAGTCTCTGCGTCTTGGCCGTTGATGGGACCAACCTGACGCTGGCGGCAGCTGGTGGGTGTGGCGCCTACCTACTGGAAGATGGGGGGTCTGGGTGGAGAAGACCCAGTCCCAATCCGAGTAGGCTTGGAGACTTCATAGATAGAGTTTAAAAATAGTTTAGGTAAAAGACATTAATAACGAATTACATAGTATAAACTAGTCATCCTTAAGAAAAGAAACACGAAAAAAATACCTTGAAATATATTAAAAGGTGTCCAGCATTTTGTAGTTCAAACAGGAGGATGACAAATCAACAACAAATGATAAATACTTATTGTCTCAAACATTGACAAGCATGTAGCCAAACTCCTGTCAGTGGAAGGATTAATAAATTAGTGAAGTCATTTGGAAGCAGGGAAGTGTGAGTGTGTGGGGGGGGAGGGGCAATGTAGTCCTATTCACCCGATCGTAAAATGTGCAGAACATTTATCTGCAATTCAGCCTCTAGGAAACATCCAGAAGAAATAAGTGCATATGTTAACTCAGTTGAAATACAAAGTTTTGTGACAGGTAAAAATTGAAACTTCCCAGATGACCACCATCAAGATATTGTTTTGCTTTTACTTATTTTAATGCTTTAGAGGGACAGGGGTGATAGCACAATGGGCAGGGTGCTTGTTTTATATACTGCCAACCTGAGTTTGATCCCTGGCACACCACATGGTCCTCTGAGCACAGCCAGGAGTAATCCCTGAACACAGAGCCATGAGTATTGAGTACTGCCAGGCATAGTGCCAAAAAATAAAATTAAGATAAAAAGCTTTTTATTTAGGGCCAGAGAAGTTGTATAGGGGTTAAGACACCTTGCATATGGCCAACCCTGGTTCCATTTCCAGAACTATCTGGTCTCCTGAGCAATGCCTGGTGCATCCCTGGAGCCCCTCCAGCACTGCCAGGATGACAGTATTAATTTATAACAAAAGTGTTAACAAAATAATAACAAAAGTTAGATAGTTTGAGCAAGTCCTCCCCATCACTGCAGGGCCTGAGAAGCTGCACCCCTAGGCTCTCAGCTAGAGTAGCCCACCTGGTTAACTGAGCACCACTGGGAGTTGCATCCAGGCCCCCCAAGCACTGCTAGGGAATCCCCTCAATAAATAATAAAATAATAAAATGCTTCAGCACAAAGGCTTGGAGAGAAAGCTCAATGGACAAGAGCCACAGGAAGCTGGGGTTTGACCCCAGGCACATTCAGGAGCAGCCCCTGAGCACTGAGCCAGGAGTGTCAGTGGGTCTGATCCAAAACCAAAAGGAAGTGAAATTTTTAAAAACCTAACAGACTGGAGGTGGGGTGTGGGGGAGGGCTACTGGGATCATTGGTGGTGGAGAATGGGCACTGGTGGAGGGATGGGTGCTCGATCATTGTATAACTGAAACCCAAGCACGAAAGTTTGTAAGTCTACAACTGTATCTCATGGTGTTTCACTAATAAAAAATAAAAATAAAAAAACTAACAGAATGGGAGACTGACACCCAAGAATAGTAAAGATAAGTACCAGGAGGATTACTCCAAGGCTTAGAAGCCGGCCTAACATGCTGGGGGAAAAGGCAGCTCAGATAGAGAAGGAAACACCAAATATAGGGTGCTAGGAGGGCCTGCTCCGGATGGGAGATGTGTGCTGAAGGTAGACTATAGACTGAACACGATGGCCACTCAATACCTCTATTGCAAACCACAACACCCAAAAGGAGAGAGAGCAAAAGGGAATGCCCTGCCACCTGGGGTGGAGGTTGTGATCGGGTGGGAGTGGTGGGAGGGATACTGGGATCATTGGTGTGGAGAACGAGCACTGGTGGAGGGACAGGTGCTCGATCATTGTATGACTGAAACATAAACATGAAAGTTTGTAAGTCTGTAACTGTACCCCATGGTGATTCGATAAAAAAAAAAGAAGGTGCTTTACATATATGTGTAATTGCTGTCCTTCAACCCTTCATGATTTCTGTATCATAATTCTGACTGATTTGAATAAAGACAGCACTGGTTACCAAAAAAAAAAAAAAAAGAACTACGTCAAACTGGGAAGGTTCCACTGCCACTCCTCATGCTCTCTTCTGGACCTTTAAATATCTGTCACCCAAGACCCCTGCTTGGTCCTGAGCCCCTCTGACACGCTGAGTGCTGTAGCTGGGCCACTCCACTGAGAAGTGCTCGAGCTGGGAAATGCCTCTCTGACAGTCTCAGGCCAGAAAGGCTTGTCATGATCACCTCTGGGCTCCCACGTCTTGCCTCAAAGGAAGCAGCAAGTCCTCCAACCCCGTGGCCATCGGCCCTTGGCAGCTGCCTGTGGTTCCATACCCAGGACTTGCGAGGATGTGGGTGGGATGGGCTCCTGAGCAGGAGCAGGAGAGAGCCCTGGCCCCAGACTCCTCTCCTGACTGCCTATAACTGCAACCAGCTCGGGAGGACATTGCAGGAGGGCAGGGCAGCCACCAGGCGGATGGGGGGCTTTGCCGGGCGCTGGTCCTCTGCACCTTCATGTTAGGTTCCCATAGTTCACACAGCCTTGACTCCTTAGGAGGGGAGTTTGGAAGACCCTGTGACCTTGCCCTGGAAGCTGCACAGGTGGCAGTCTGCCGTCATAGGGATTGGCTGTCACTATGGTGATGGGGAGGCCTGTGGCCATCAGACCCGGTTTTCTGCATGACAGCTCTAATGACAGGCTGGTCAGCCCTGCTGAGGCCAGAGGGTGTGAGCTCAGAGGCTCTGTTCTGGGTTGTCACAGCAGCTGCCGGTCCACCCCGCTGCCACAAGCCCTGGCAGAAGTCCCTGCTCCACACCTGGTCAGAGCAGGAAGTGTGGGGCAGTGCCCGAGCCACGGGGAAGCGGGCTGGGATGGGAGAGCGACACGGTCAGGTGTGAACTAATTACTCAAAAGCTGTCTCCGTGCGACAGGAGAGAGAGAAGCTTTTCTGCTGAGTCTGGCTCAGAATACTGCACCTCAGAGCTCAACACAGGCCAGGAAGGCATTTCAGAGGTGAGGACTCTGCCCCAAAGCCCCGCATGGCCCGGCTGCCATTGCCCCATGCCTGAGAGCGCACTCAGAGGGGAAGCATGACCGTGTGACCTGGAAGAGAAGGCTGGACAATAGCTCTTTGGACAACAATGAAAAGGAGGAAACTGTGACTGAAACTCAAGCCAGAAACTCACTGGGAAGTGGACAGGCTTCTCTCCCGAACACGAGGACTGGCTGCAGCCTTGGTTGGGGGCCGTTTTGCCCTGGACACCTGTGGAGGAACGCTGAGGGGGTCCCAGCTCACGCGGGCTGGCTAGAGCACACATGCTGGATGACAGAGCCAGGATGGAGAGCACCAAGAAGGAAAAGGTAGCTTCTCGCTGGTGTGTCTAGAAGCATTTTCTGGGTGCTGCCCTAATGTGGGGCTGAGGGCCTGCAGGGTTTCACTCTGAGCAGTTCTGTGGCCAGCAGTAAGGCAGGAGACCAAGTGGGAGACGTGGCACTGGGAGAAACACCCCTGCACCTCCTTGGTGTAGGGGTGCAGTAGGGAGGTAGGGGCAGGAACTTGTCCTTTGCCATGGCTTCTTCCTCACATCTGGGAAACGGCAAGGTCAGCACAAACTCAGCTGCTCTTTCGGGGCTGAGTTAATGGTGTCAGGAGAAAAACAACCAGCCCATAGCAGAGGGCTGATGGCCTCAGGCAGCCAGATGGACCCAGACTCTAAGTGTGTCTCAGGTCTGCCTGCCAAGGGACTCCGACATGTGTCTAGATGGGAATGGAATGGCTGTTCACAGCGGGAGGTGGGCCTGCAGCTTCCCTTCCTGGGAGAAAGTCTTGGTGGGTGCCATGACTGTGAGACCGTGTGCCTGGTTGCTGAAGGTCCAACAGAGTTGTCTTCAGCTCCCTGCCTTCTCCAGAGCTTGTGGGAGCCCACAGTGTCCTGCAGGGCAGCTATTCCCACCCCTCTTCCTGTCTGGCCTGAGGAAGCAATGTTCCCTGCAGTAAACTTTCTCTGCTCCAGAAGTGAAAGGGTGCCGGCTCTGGTCTGGACGTGGTCTGGCCTCCGTGGCCCTGTCAGCATAAAGGGAGGTGTCTGACCTTTGGCACACACCAACTCATCCATGTTTGTGCCTCTTGCTAGAGGCAGTGCAGACTTGATGTTTTGAGGAGCCCAGTCTAGGAGACTTCAAAATATAGTCTGAACTGTCAGCCCCTGGTGAGAAGCAACAGAACTAAATTTTTTCCAAGACCACCAGAGGTCCAGCCGGTTGGCTGCCTCCAGATTCCAGCCTGCTGGAAAAATGTCAAGCTGAGAGGCTAAAATTAGAAGGGGTGGAGAGGTGAACGTGAGGGCTAAGAGCAGACTGGGCTCAGGAGGAGATGAAGAAGTGACACTGGGGGGTGTTGGCACATTTCAGTGGAAATTAGTCAATTGACACAGACCTCTAAATACCACAGGGATGTGTCTTGTGGAAGAACCAAGTCACATCAGAATCCCGGCTGTTAGGGAGTATGGGAAATGTAATTTTCAACCACCCAGACCTGGTGTTTTTGGAAACAGAGAGGGAGTGGTCATAATGCTGAAAGAAACAGCTGCAGCAAAGCGAAGAAAACAAAATAGAAAGTGGCTGTTGGCCCCCAAATGTATTATCAAATACAAGTTAGTTTGCTCTCTGATCAAAGGATAGTTACTTGAGACAAAAAAGTTAATGTGAAGAAAACAGATTGAATAAGGTACTACAAACTGAATAGAAGGAAAACTTGTCCCCTCAAATCAGCTTCCTGTCAGGTTGGGGCTGGGGATTTGTATAGGGTTGGCTGGGGAAGTCCGAAGAAAATGAGGGGTAATCAGTAAGTTGGAGAAAGTAGTCCCATCTCCAGGCTTGAATGACTAATGAATCCTCAGGGTGTATGAGTTCTTCTTCATAAAACTTTCAGTAACATGATTAAACAGCATCCAGCTCCAGGATATGCATAATACCCCCAGAGAGATAGTATAGCAGGTTTGGCACTTACCTTGTATGCAGTTAACCCAAGTTTGATTTTTTAGCCCCTTATCCAGACCTGTGAAACCATCAGAAATGACCCCAGAGCACAGAGATGAGAGTAAGCCTTGAGCTCTAGCAGGTGTGACCTACAGACAAAAAAGAAGGCCTGTGTTTGCTCTTTCTCCTCTATCCATAACTGGGCTTGGTTCAACATTAAACATACAAAGCATGGGAGTATCTCTTAGGGTTGGGAAGCAGGTCAAAGGCCAATGTGAAATGGGAGGTTAAAAGCCACATGTGTGTGAGAATACGAAGTCTCCGATACTTGCTCGCTCACAAAAGAAATTCTCAAGGCAGCAGATGATGCTGTGGCTTGGATCCCAGCAGCACGGTCAGGGATGGTGCCACCATCTAAGAGACGACCATGGAATTAGCAAGAGTGCCTGTGGAATGTTTGCAGATGAAGAAAGAGTGTCAGGGACATGAGCACCGGGGTCTTCGCAAGTAGATATGGTTATTCCGCCCCTGTGCTTGAGACTTCATTACTAGGGCTTGGATGTTGGCATCTTCCTCTTCCTAAAAGTGAATTCTCACAGGCATCTTGGTCATGAGGGCTCACAGTAAGCTCTGAGGAAGTGTCTTTGAGTAAATGACTGATATCATGCAGTATGTTCTAGGAACACCCCAACAAACGTAACAGCTATGCTTTGTGTCCTTAAAGGATGCCTGAGCAGGGCTGGAAACTATAGTACAATAGGTAGGGCGTTTGCCTTGCATGTGGTCAACCCGGATTGGATCTCCGGCATCCCATATGGTCCCCCAAGCTCCACCATGAGTGAGTCCTGAGTGCAGAGCCAGGAGTAACCCCTGAGCATGGTCGGGTGTGACCCCTCCCCCAAAAGGCCAAAAATAAATAAATAAGCACATAAACAAACAAACAAATAAAGGATTCCTGAGCTTTGCGGGAGTCAGACAAATGAGAAATTACAGAATTCCCATGTTGCCCTACATGAACTCTTTGCATCTAGTTAAAAGCATGTATAAAAATAACACTAGATGACTCAATATTGCAATTGTATGATGGAGATGTGCTGAGATTATGACTCCTTTCTCTTTCTTCTTGCACAGATTTGAAATACTCTCTCACAAAAAGTCTTTATAACTCTAAAAAAGAAAAGTAAACAGGGCTAGAATTACACTGATGGCTATTAGTGAGTCTATAACAGTCCAGGTATTTCTCTTATACATGTAGAGTGATTATTTACAACACTACTCACCTGGTAAGATTTAGCAGCATTTCCCAAAATTATTCGGCCTCCATCCCCTTTACAGAACCACCTCCCCACTTCAGGGGAAAAAATCACTCAACACTCACTTGGAAATCAACTTTCTTCTCTGCTCAGGAGTCACTCCTGGCTGTGTTTGAAGGAACACACGGTGCTGAGGGGCAAATCCAAGCCTCTGTATGCAAAGCGCACATGCTCGTGCTCACTGAATTATTGCTCTGTCCCTAGAAACTTCTTCTTTAGAAAAACATCCAGAAAATGGACTAAAGAGATAGTACAGCAGGTGGAAGGCTTACCTTGCACATACATCACCCTAGCTTTGATCCAGGGCCCCCAAGGGTCCCCCAGCACTTCTAGGAGTGATCCCTGAGTACAGAGCCAGAGTAAGCCCTGAGCACTGCCAGGTGTGGCCCCCAACCAGAACAAACTGAAATAGAAAACAATCCCCAGTTGACCTCCCCTCTAGACTGGTCCAGTGGATGGCAACACCCACTCTGGGAAACTGTCAGAAGAGTTGGCCCCTTTTGGTGGTAACCTTTGCTGTAGACAAGCAGTGATGACAGACTCTCTTCATACCGGTAGCGGAGGGGAGTGTGTATGGAATCCTTTGGCCTAGAGAATGTGGGATGAGCTGGTTTCAAGTGGGGCTGTCCTGGGTGTCCAGTCCTCTCTGCTGCGTTCTGAGTATTTCCTAATGGAATGCTGACTCAGATAACTTGCAGAATTGTTTGCCCCAAACTTACTACCCACATAGGTACTGTGGATAAAGAATTAGTGAGTCCTGGGAGAAGGTATAAGTGTTCTATCTTCGTTGTTCTTCCAACAAGCCCTTGCGACATGTTTGTTATCCACATATGCCACATGCCACTACTACCACTGCAGGATGGTGTATGCAAAGGAAAAATCATTTGTCTCTCTTTTTTAACCTGAAATTAGGATTCTGAGCAAGAGCTCTTTGCGATCTGTAGGAAGTGAAGGGTCCAGTAAAGTCATAGTCCATGGGGGTACCAGTTTTGTTGGTGGCGCCAGGGATTGACCTCTGGGTCTCATAGTGCTCTACTGTTAGCTACATCCTTGACCCCCACAGGGATCTCTGAAGCATGATGGGCACCAGAGATCGTCCTTTCACAAAGAAAGAAGTCAGCCTCTGTACCTCTGAAATGAAGTCTTCTTGTCAGTCCTGAGTATATCCATGAGTCAGTTAGCCACTGGGGGCCTCTGTACCAGTCCAGTGGGGCTGGGCACTGATGGCATGTGATACAGTGTGCCCCAGACGCATCCCACACTTCCTTGGTTCTGCATTATGCTCATTCTCCAGGTACCTGAGGAACCTGCCAGGTGGGTGTTTAGTGAGATGAATTGAGGCTCCACTAAATGATGCTCATTTCCTCTCTCCGCACATCCACTTCAGCCTCCCTTTCCACTTGCTGGTCTCGGTGACACTCCTGGTGGGATGAACCCTAGGCAGTCTGAACCCCTTTATAACTTCTGAGCATCTTTAGAACTGTGTATGTTCTAACTTGTCTATTTACAGATAAGAGAAACAACCTGGGGCATGGCTGGGAGGGTCATCTGAGTGCAAAATGTGTGTCCTTTCCTTTCAGCAAGAAGCTGCTCTCCCATATATCTATGATAACATTGGTCAGTTGCCACCTGGTCATACCATGCTTTTTGTGGCAGTATGATCTGATCTTTCTCTGCTTGGTTGACATGAGGACCATAGTGCGGCCAGGTGGCAATTGTTGCCTTAAGGCTAGAGGGACTCTTGCTCTACCCCCTAAAGAAAGCATCCATCCTCTGACCCAAGAGTTCCAGACCCATAAAACCTGGAGTTGGCATACAGGAAAAACAATGTCCTCATCGAGGTCAGGGGGTGATGGGACCCTTTGGTTCCTAGGCTCATAGATTCTACCTTTGATGACTACAGCATTCCCCAGTGGTTGCTGGAATGTACGTTGCTTCCTGAAGGACACTGACCCCTTCTCCTATGATGTCATCTTCAAGTTGACAGCTCAGCTGTGCCTTTAATGGGCCCGTCCCCCAGTTTATCATGCTGGCAGTTTCAGTAGAATGACTGGCGGGTCCTAGGATCAT